CGGACCCGACAGCACAGGGTCCTTGGTCGACGTCGTGCGGCGTTTCTGGCCTGATCGAAAGGCGATGTATACTTGTGCGTCTATCCTTTGAATTTATTCTATTTGCATCCTACCACAATGTGGATTTCAGGCTGGAACACCAAGATTTCAGCGCGCGAGTCCAACTACGGAACACGCATCGATTACATTCTTGTCACCCCCGGGCTACTTCCCTGGATCCAAGACGCCGACATTCAGCCCGAGATTAAAGGAAGCGACCACTGTCCAGTCTTTATCGATCTCCGCGACGAGATCATCGACACGAATGGCGGCGTGATTAAGCTACGAGACGTTTTGGGACCCAAAGCAGTCGGCGCAGAGCCCCCACGGATCGCCGCCAAGTTCTGGGACGAGTACAAGCAGAGGCTCTTGGACACGTTTTTCGGCAAAAAGGCGGAGCCCAACGCCAAAGCGACACCTGCGCAACCTCAGACATCACAGGCAACGTCCGATCCAACCCCTTCGGCGACGCTTGGATCCGAACACGCAGATATGCTCAGATGTGCAGTTCCATCTGCCAGCGAGTTACTCGACGATCAGCAGTCTTCTGGGAGCCAGGCTTCGAGCGCGACTCCGCCCTCGGCGTCGGTTGCTGCTGCGAAACGAAAACGAGATATCCAGGAGCCGGTGGCTTCTTCGTCCAAAAAGTCAAAAAAAGATAACCTCAAACCCAAGAAACCTGGACAAACGAGCCTGGCATCTTTCTTTCCAAATCCACCTCCTCGTCCTCCAAAGCCGACGCGTCGGCATCTGGAACGAAATTACAATCGTCCAAAGAAAAACTCTCGGCGGCTGAAATACTGGACGCCGATTACAAGCTTGCGCTGTCATTATCACAAGAATCTTCGCCTCCACGGGTAAGCGGGACTCAGAGTAACGGCGAGAGTAAGAAAGCGTGGTCAACGCTCCTTGCGCCTGTGCAGCCGCCGCTCTGCCAGGTCCACGGCGAGCCAACAAAGGAGCTGACCGTCAATAAAGCGGGTCCGAACAAGGGAAGAACTTTTTCATCTGCTCCAGGTGAGATCCTCGGACGATTCCATCGTGGCCAGTCTACGCCCGCTGATCGCATTGCCTTCATAGACCGGTGGGGCCTGGATACGATCGAGGCAAGGCGGAGCGGCTGAGGGAAGAAGTGGATCCAACGTGGAGGTGCGATTTCTTCAAGTGGGCGAGCGACGTCAGGCTGGAGATGGCGCGGAAGAGAAGCACCGGCGCACTTGGGTAGGTTTCAGGTCCGCCTTGTCGCACTTCGCTCATCGTCCGTCACAGGTAACCATATTTAGTATCCGGTACTGTGCCTGCGTGGCAAACGGGCGTCAATGTAACCACTATACCTTTCTGACCGCCTCGTTTAAGCTCTGCGATCGCCACGGTTACGTACGATGTGGACCTTCTTTGGTAACCGAAACGAGGCTAACGCAGTCGGTCCTCGGACCGACACTCCCGCGCTTCGCAGTTAGTGTCGCGCCACAGGGGAAAGGGAAACACATGTCGGAATTGAGCCATTCAGTCGGCTAGTGAGTGCGGTATACTCTGTTGAACAACCTTTTCCTCTGTACTGAACCGAGTGGTTGCTGGTGTCGTCTCAAAGGTAATTTGATCGCCATATCGAGCCTGCTCAAACGTTCACCAGCAAGAAGATGATGCACGAGGAGGGGTCTGACTACCAAGAGAAGGCAGACCGATATAGCATTGATACGTCCAGTCTACCTTGGTTCGGGAAACTACGCTAAGGGGTACGTACCTCTGTCAGCCATCACAAATGGATCAGCAGAGACTTATAAAGACGCCTCTCGGCGAGACGCGTCCCCTCCGACCACCGCGGGTCTTTCGCTCCTTGCTGCGATGTTGGACGCCCTACCTGTAGAGCTCATCCTATTCCTTCTCCATAGCTCATCCGTCGCGGATATCTTGAACTTGTCGAGGGTGCGCAGAATCAACATCACTTTCCTTCCGCATGGACTGAACTTATGTTTAGACTTCATCATACTCGCCGCTATATTACTCTCGTGCACCGACGGCTTTGGATCGATGCCTCCGACTCCTATAGGATCCGTCTCCCGTTAGGCGAGACGCTCAAAACCACCGACTTGTCTCGGCTCCCTCGCTACGCAGCACGCAGCACGGCAATTCTGTGTAAATGGCGCCAGCATCATGATCTCGCAAAACCCATTTCTTCGATTCGAACCTATGAAGCAATTCGGCTCTACGACCTCCCCGCATGGATATTCTGGTCGCCTTTGAAATATTCCCAGCGGTCCTTTGTGGGCCACTCCCCCCCGGCGTTTATGAACGTTCTTCCGGGCGGCCGTTCATTTCTCTTGGGCTCGATGGGTCATCTTGGGATATACGGCCTCCGCGGCGAATACGGATATGAGCTGAAGGTTCCGTTCTGCGCGCGTTTTGATCCTCACCCCGGAGATACCGCTGCGACGCTCGCCTGGGATAGCGTCGATAATGGTGTTCACATAGGGATCGCCGTTCTTTCGAAGTCATTCAATGAGCGGCACGATGTCGAGAAGTACGATTTCGTTCTTTGCGTTCATTTGGAGTGTTGAACATGAATTTCAACCAGCTATTTGAGCGTGTTCAAAATTAATTATGCGCACTCCGCCAAAGCACCGTCTATTCGCCGCACTCACGTCTTCACTCTGCCTATCGACGCCACCACCGTCTCCATTAAAGGACACCTTATCTTGGTTCGCACCAGTGCCGACTTTCTTTTGATTGACCTTAAGGTCAGTCAACGCGGTTGGTGGCATCTTTCGGTATGTTTGCTTCCATTTGCGTTCTCCTGTCGCTGTCGCTGAATTTTGGTATAGGACTCTAGAATCACCCACGCTACCATCCAACCCGCCCAGCGGACCATTTTCTGGTCCTCAACTCGCACAAGGACAGCACACTCCTTACAAACCATCTCCATCCCGTCGACTTTGGAGTCGTTCGCGCCCACTAGTAGCTCGTTTTGGACCACCTATCGCTTTACACCACAAACAATCGACATCCTCCCAACGTCGAAATTGTCCCACGTGTATCTGAGCATGAAGGCTCTCGACGCCAGTGGAACGATTTTCCGGGAGACGACATTGACGCCGGACGCGCGCACGGCCATCACCTCCTCCACACACATCGGGCCCGTCCGATATGCACCCGCCAATGAGATTACGGCGCATACGGTGGCACAGCCCTTGGTATCCCTCCGTTCGTCGTATCACACAACACTGACAGCCGTAGGGAACGGTGTGCTTGCGGCGCTGCGTACGGATGATGGTTGGGGTGCTGGGGACACGCAGAAGTTCTTGACGTTGTCGTTCCCCGCGGAGGGTATGCCCGGCATAGGTCGCACAGTGGTATTTGATGACGTCTACGGGGTCGCGCTCGCGTTCGCGCGGGGGAGGCTGTTTGTCATACAATATTGAGTTGTCTTATTTATTTTGCGAACGTATCCGTGGCATCCCGTTCAAGTCATTTGTGTTTACGCTACGGGACCCGACCTTAGTTGATGGGTGTCGCTATTCAAACAAGCACATTCGGGAGCTCTGCAAGACTTGGAGCGGAATTCGAACGACGTCTCTACGTTCACCAGTACTGCACAAAAGTCAAACGCCAGCGGACTGTGAATAGCCACCACTGTTTGCAATGATACTGAGGACATACCTAGTCCCCGCATCGCTCAACATCAGTTTCATAATTGTTGAGGTTACCCGACGTTCGCGACGATCAGTTTCTCCTCGCGTCTACAAAGCTGTATATTAAGTCATTCCGGAAAAGCTATAAGGTCCGTTTGTAGGAGCTTACGTCGCGGTCATTTTCTTCTTTCTGACCTTCCTTCCTTGAACTTATCGTGCCGGCCGCGAGGAATCGAGATTCCCGCCTATTTCTTATAATGCTATCTTATATCTTCTTCGTCGGGTGAGTCACTGTTCAATGTCGAAAACTCGGACTGATCTTTCTATCTAGTTCTCTCTTGGTTTTCACCCCGTTAATCACGTTTGCGCTCGACATACATGCGCCGCCCCAGGTCGTGAGCCCCGGGATAATGCAAATAAATGTCACCGGGCAGGCCATGGCCACGGACCCAGCCACCGGAAAACTTGCATACGCATACTATACACTTTATAATACCCTCGATGGGCAGTCGGCCGACGTCGACATTGCCGACCACAAAACCAGCGACAATGATACAACGACTCGGAGCATATCTCTGATGATCCCCCTGGTAGCGAATGGGTGGGTAGACTCTTTTTGGTCTTTGACAGCGACATTCGTTGAATTATGGCTAGCGATGGTTGGACTGTCGTGGCTAATGTCGGATCTGATGCAGTTTTACAACCTGTGAACATCGGCACCTCGAATACCTTCTTTATCCGGTCGAACAGGTACGTGATCCACGACATCAAGTGGCGCGTTAACTAAATATACAACAGTACAGCCCCACATTTCAACAACGGTCCAACTCAGGGTCAAGCTAGTTTCGCGATCGCCGACCTTACCGCATCTCACCATATGCAATCGGCGGCGGCGTATTCGGTATACTTGCACTTCTTTTGGGTGTCTTGCGTTTGGTTCTGTTCTGCAGCGCGCGGCGTCGCCGTGAACCCGAGAATGGTGGAGCTAAACTCGAAGCAGGGCAAGGGAGAAGTGATGCACCATGGACCGCAGATCATTCAACGTCGCTGAGTTCGCAAGACAGTTTGGATCAAAAGGGTAAGTCACATTCGAAGCAAGGTGTCCGCACTTTGAATTAAACTATATATAGTCCCCCTTCCGCCAAATCCGAATCCGAAGTCGGAATAGTAAAAGTTGGTATCATAGAAACAAGAGTTGTTGGGGTCGAAGATTAGAGAAATGTGGGGTGTGCGAGGAAGCCGAAAAAGAGTGAAGTGCGAAAAAACTTGTGGATGGACATGGAAACAGCAGGCGTAGACGTGATTCTGAAGAATCCAATTAAGCAAAATACAAGGTCGTACCCGGAATCGAACCGGGGTCACCAGAACTCAAGATATCATCAGAATCTGGTGTGATAACCGCTACACTATACAACCGTTAGAAATGAGCCACCTGGCTGTGTAGTGGCGCGGGGGCGCTGAAGTTGCTTCGAGAAGAAGGGTTCACTGACACATGGCATGACACTCAGCCACTGATGGCACATACCTTGAGCCTTCATTTGTCCCGTTTACTGTTGTCATACCTAGCAATGTCGACACCTTTGGTGCAGACCTTGTAGCAAAAATTGTCTGCTTCCTGTGGATTAGTCCATTATTCCCCATTTTTCCTCCATGGATCAGAAAACAGCAAATTATTTTATTTTGGGATATGTAGCCAGGCATGATACAGTTTTTTGGTTGATAAGAGCTTCGAATGGCTCAATCCCAATGCCACAATTTTTTTGAAGAGATTCGGCTAAGGGATGAGCTCAAATGACCAAAACGGGGATCAGCCATCACTTTCACCACAGCGAGTAAGACTGTGCACAAACTATCTGCATTTCACCTGAATCACTTAAAAACCCAGACAGTACCACAGAAATGATTCCATAAGGCAGGTAAGGTGAAGAAGCTGATGGAATGTGTGATTTACTGCAGGACATGAGTTATGAAGGGTCCCTAAAACCCTTACCTAAAGGTAGCGGGAATCAACTCAAGCTTAGAACCTGCACTTCTGTAGGCTCTCATTTACAGACCCCTTAATACATATTTGATCTTGTATCTCACTGTATTGAAGTACTCCTGCTACTGGGAGATGCTTCTTCTTCCATTCCAGGATTGCTCTCAACAACTACTGTGAAGAAGGGATAGTGTTAAGATGATGGATTGAAAGCCTCCAACAGTCTCAGAGTACCTTTTGGCCTACTCCAGACTTCCCAAAGCCACAGTACTGTATATAAGCCCATCCTGTATGATACAGTAGATTCCATCTTATATTTTCTACCTATCAATCAATCAATTTTGACTTGCTACTCTGGGACCTCCTGTCTTTGCTACTCTGGACATTGTGAATCTGCATGAAATTCTTGTATATATGCTATTTACATGCCTAGGAAATCTTGCCAGCTGATATGACACATACAGACACCATACAAAAACTGAGTAACTGGTATTGCTTTCAGGTGAGCAAACTGTCCCCTTATTATGAGGAATCAATTGCATAGTGTCGGCGGAACATCTTCAAATACCTTAGATTCTCATTGTTTTAATAAACAAATAGTAGATCAGTGAATCTATGTTAAGTTATGGTATGCACTCAGATAATGTTGCCGCGACTCGAAAAGTCGAGTCGCGGCTCGGGAAGTCGACTTGAAAGTAAATTTGACTCAACTCCACTCGACTTGAGACAACCAAGTCACTCGAAGTTGACTTGAGTCGACTCAAGTCATTCAAGTCGAAGGGTATTTTCGGAAGATATGCCAATACATCCAAGATGGCACTTAGATACCTAAAAGTCCGTTGGAAACATGGTGCCAAGCCCAGAAGCAATTAACAAGCCAGAAACTGGCGCTCCTTGGGATTTCAAGGTATAGAACACCCAAAAACTTGAAATTTCATACCATTATGCTCTTTTGTGTTCCTCAGACTATTTCAGTGCAAAAATGATGAAGTGGTCGTTGGCTAACTCGTTTCGATGGGAGTTGAACCGTAACCAGATAAACACAAACACCGTTTATTTCCGATGCATTCACGCATGCATTCATTGGATCGTGTTCTTCATTACTGTTTACACAAACCTCCGTCTGTGTTCTCAATTAATTTGCTAGTTTCTGACATTCTGCATTGAGTACTGCCAGCTATTTGTGCCATCAATTTAACTGGAGGAAAACTTTGGGCCATGCAGCACCACACCCGGTATTGTACAAGCGGACAGGAATCCACAGTAAGACATGCTGTGTCCCACTACTTCATTGTTTTTCTGTACCGAATATCCTGAGGGACCTGCTAGAGAATCTCGGAAGGAATCCTAGGTTAAATAATTCATCATCGCTATTAGCTTCAAAATGCATCCAGCAGGTGGAATTCACTTACATCGACCGGAAGATCAAACCCCTTGACATCAAACCCCTTGCACAACAAGAAGGAAAAAGAGCATTGATTTGTAAAAATGGTCAATCTAAGTTTCCAACCAGGTTTTGAAGGCAGTAATATTGGAATTGTTTGATGTATGATTCCCAGTTTTCTGATGTGATGGTCCGTCCGAGTGTGCAAGTCTATGTAATGCAATTACTTTGACTTCTCAACCACCTCAATGTTTCTCCAACTCGAATGTCCTGAGCTGCCAGCAAACTTCATGAAAATCTCAACTGAAGTGGACGAGACTCTAGGCCAAATACTCACAATCGCTATTGCATCAAAATGCATCCAGTATGTATAATTTACCTGCGGGACCTGAAATTTTGGATATTGAAGCCCATAGAGGCCATCCGGCACGACAGCGAGGAAAGAGAGTACAAATCCGTAAACATGGCCAAATATAGCAAGCCTACAATTTTCAACTGGGTTCAATTAACTCAGTTTATCGTTTTCCTGGGCTCTCAAAAGTTTTGAATATTGAACCCGACTTGAGTCGACTCAAGTCACTTGGAGTCAACTTAAGTTGAGCCAAGTCTGGCATTTGACTCAACTTCGACTCGACTCAAGCTACAAACTCGACTTCGAGTCGGCCTGAGTCTCAAGTTGCGGCAACATTACACTCAGATATTTGTTCCCATAGATCAGTAGTAGATCAGCCTTGGCAAAATATGTATAATCCAATAGATTGCATTGAGGACAGTGTGAGTTCAACTCCTACTTGGAGCATCCATCCATCACAAGGGATTGTTTTGGGCAGTGCCAGCTCTTCCTTGCTAAATCCATGATGCACTCACAAATGGAGAGAACAAAGCTGGGGTGTTGCAGAAGAGGTCAAATAATCCTGAGTATAAGCAGGGGTGAGTGGAGGAGGTACTGGGGGTGCTGGAGGGTCAACTGGAAGGGCCAGAGGTGGAGGTCCCCTAACAGGTATATATTGTTTTTAATTTGTTTTGGTGGATGTAACAATGATGAGATGCCCACTGTCGAGGTGATGGATAGGAGATGCTCCAATAGGTCAGCAGGTGAACCAGTCTCTCTTCTTGGATTTCTTGAGGCTAATAGAGGTTTGACTCTCGCTTGGGCAATCTTTAGCCTTGGTAATGTAACAACACTGGGATGTCAAATGTCAAGAAATATCTCAAGATGCCACTCCAGTATAGAGGGGAGGGGAGATAAATCTACCTCATGGCAAGCACTTTCGGGCCAAACCCAAGCCAGTGCGATGCTGCAACGTAACTAAAAACAGAACGGTAGCTAGAGACCATGAGCCCATTGAATAACAAAGAAACTGGGATGGTGGGCAGAGATTTTTGAAGCCAGAAACAAGACAGGTGTACTCAAGTTGAGTGAGCAAGCAAGGAGGGGGCAAGGAGAAAAAAGTTGAGTGATGTGACTGCTTGCATGTAAACACATGCTAGGATACTTCTCAGGATACCACTACAGCACTAGAGAAGCTCCAAAGATCAGCGGTAGACCAGCCTTCTTGTTGTACTTGCAGAGGAGTGAGCTGAGGTGGGCAACTCCTGCTTGGGGCATAGTTAAGAGGGTTTGTACTTTTTTTATTTAGTGTGGTAGTGTTTATGTTGTTTTTGGATAATCAAACAACATGATGTTGAGACACCACTTTTGCGCAAGAGCTCCAATAGATTAGTGGTAGCCCAGCCTCTTTCTTATATACTCCTGGATTTCCTGAGGCCAAGGTGGTTAGACTCCCTTGGGGCATAGTGAGCAAGTTGGCACTTTTTTCCTCCAGCTGGCTATACATCTTTCGAAGCAACTTGAGATGCCGATGTCTCAAGATACCACTGCAGCACTAGGGAAGCTCTAAAGGTCAGTGGTAGACCAGCCTCTCTTATTAATTCGATTGCACTGTATTTTGAGGCCAATGTGGGTTCAACTCCCACTTGGGGCATGGTTCCAAGTTGTATTGGTTTTTTATTTTCTGGCTACTGCAAATTTCTTTTCAGATAATGGAACAATGCTGGGATGTAAGATGCCACTGCGGTGGGGAGGGAGAGAGACAAATCTCCCTCACACTCCCTCACAGGAAGTGCTCCTGTGGGAAACCCAAGCCGCTGTGATGCTGCAACATAACTAAAAAGGACACTAGAGATTATGAGATTGAGTAACGAAGAAACTGGGATGGAGGGCGGAGATTTTTGAAGCCAGAAACAAGACAGGTGTACTCAATTTGAGTGAGCAAGCGAGTAGGGCAAGGAGAAAAAAAGTTGGAGTGATGGATGTAAACACATGCTAGGACGATACTGGGATGACAATAACTCAGGTATCTCAGGATACCACTACAGCACTACAGAAGCTCCAAAGGTCAGCGGTAGACCAGCCTCTCTTGATACTGATCCTGAAAGTGACGCAGGTTCAACTCCTGCTTGGGGCATATCAAATAGATCATTGTTTTTTGCTCCCACTTTACTTTTTTTGGTTGGGACAAGATGGAAACGCGACAAGAAGGAAAAATGATGTACACTTCGTGTTCCCCAAAAGGAAACTCCGGCTTCGTGAGTCGAAGATAAGTAAGTACGGTGTTTGGAGCCGACGCCAGACGGATCACGACAGGGTCAAGGAGAAGAGCTCGGGACGGTCGCTGAGGCGGCAGAGTAGCATGGATGATTGACGAGCGGGAGATAATAATGAAAATAACAGTGAAATATGTAACGGACTGGAGATGGTAGGGTATACCGTACCTAGTTGAGGGCCCTTGTTTTCTTTGTGCAGCGGGTGGTTCCCACTGCGAACTTGCGAATGCAGCCTCGACATCGTGCACCGAGTTTCCTTTTGGGGAACCAAGTACATCGTGTTTCCGTCATATCTAGTACAGTTCCACCTTACTATTAGCCATATGTAGATCTTAACGTAGACGCTTGTGGGCTCCCCCTTGACCAATTTAAAAAAAATTGAGTCAACATGAAAGTGGGGAATTCGGAGAGCCGTGAGAGTGGGAAGTTATCGTTATTTTCCTCCAGCCAAGTACTACTAGCTATTTTTTTCCAGTCATAGAACGATGCTGGGATGTTGAGATGCCAATGTCTCAAGAGGCACTGGGAAGCTCCAAAGGTCAGCGTAGACCGCCTCACCGATTAGTAACGTCAGAAACGGAGGCGCAGGTTCGACTCCTGCTTGGAACGTGTCCAAAATTTTGTATTTTTTTTGGTCGTTTGTGTGCTTTCTTTCTTTCTTTCTTGAGAATTTTGGTGTTCGACCTTTGGGGCTTTCCTCATTGCTACCCGCCATCGGGCTCGAGTTTCAAGAGTCAGAACGTTAGTAATGGAAGGAGTTGGAAAGAGTCGAGTTTCCATTCGTGCGGTGAGTTCGTCCGTCATTCGTGAGTTCATTACGTTTCATTTCATTATACTTACACCCCCTGCCCTCCCCTCCCTCGCACACTCTACATGTATTCCTACACCCCCTCACTCCCCCCATCGAAAACAAAACGTAGAAATCATCTGAAAATCGAGACGACGGAGAAAGCGCCCGAGAAAGACGGAGCAAGGCGAAGAGAGTGACCCGGCTAGAACGTGCTGCCCTCTGGCGCTGGGGGAGCTTGCGGTTTGAGGCGGAGGCCATTTCTCTGTGGGGAGTGAGTCAGTGTCAGCAGAAGGAAAGAGATGTGCGGGAAACCAAAGACGAGACGAGACAAGTGCCCCCAACGTTCAACCTCCGACCTTCCCCCTGCCCGTTTCCCTCCGACGCGCTGCCCGACGCGTTGAATGCTCGCTCGCGACGCGTTTGTTTGCGCGCGTGTCGCCATCACGCCGATGTCTTGACTCGCCGACTAGACGTCTTTGGACTAATGTTTACTAGCTTCGCCTAGCGCCGCCCTCTATCCCAATTCAAGCTCCACTCGATGACCAGGCAACTGCTAAGCCCCCCGTCCTTGCCTTGCCCTCTAGCTGGCAACGACTATGACCAACGACCCTGCCGACTCTCCGTCTCCCTCATCGCCGCCCGTCTCGACTCCCCAGCATGTGGCACAAGCTTCCCGTCCCTCGTCGTCCCACCTTGGTATGGCTTTCCTTCCGTACGTCTCATGACAAGCGCTGATATATGTCTTCTCTAGGCTCTTCTCTATGGATGAGCCACACACGCGAGGGAACATATCCGTTCTGTCCTGCATACAAGAGCGATGGCTTTTGGAGTATCAAGTAAAGTAACGTCGTTCTTTTTATTCTCCCTCCCCTCCTCGACCTTTCGTCTCTCCTCCCCTTCACCCTTCTGTTCGCACTACCCGTATACTGACCATGTCGTACCTCCAGCTTAGCCACACTCCCCTTCGCCACCTTCGACACCAAGACCCCGTTGCGAGCCCCCCCTTCGTCGATGCTCATCTGCAGCCCCAGTCTGTAACATACACCGCGAACCACCGGCATTCACGACGCCGTTCTGGGCACGCAGTGCCCACACGATCCGCGCCCACGCGTTGCGTTCACTTCCACCCCACACCCCACTCCATTGCCACTAGCGCCACCACCCACCACCGTCGTCTTCCACCAAACGACCCTGCGTCTCGCTTGCCCGACCACCTCGCCGACTCCGACGGCGCGATCACCCACCCGCCATCGCGCCAGCCGTGCACGGCATGCATCACCGTGCCCATGTCCACTTCCCGCCGCACTCCCCGCTCCCGCGCACGCCCATCGCTTTCGTTCTCCCCATCGTTCTCGCGGAACCGTCAGACGAGCAGGCACACCACATCCAACAGTACGAGCACCCGAACAGCCGCGCGCGCACTCGCAAATCCCGGAGGCGAGATCCTCGGCGCACGCCCGCGACGCCTCTGCGCTGCGCCACACCCGGCATCGTCCCCCGCCTTGGCCTCGCCCTCGCTGTCGCTCGCCGGCGCCGCCCCTAACCGCTCACGACAGTACGACCCCGCTCGCACACGCCCGCGGATCGGGCCCTTGAATCGCCCGCACCCCGACCTCCGCCCACGCCGCACTGCAGCCATCCCATCGCCCGCGCGTACCCAGTACGCCCTCGCATCCCCGTCGCAGCTCCTGCGCACGCTGCCCCCGCCCTCTCCATCCAGCCCCCGACCATCTGCGCGCCAGCAGAACCGCGACAAACGCCCCGACGCCCTCCCATCGCGCTCACCCGCACCCTCAGCACCCCGCTCCCTCCTCCCTCAGCTCCAGGAGCGCGACGGCGGAGTGCCGCAAGGACGGGACAAGGCGGATGCGTCCCTGCGCTACCTTATCTATAGTATACGTGATCTGAACGACTATCTTCAGATTCACACCCGGTAGACTATAGAGGCTGAAACGAGCCTAACGGCAACCTTACTTACGCTCGCCAGCCGCCCATGTCTCGCCTTCCGAGATCCCAGTCATCTCCGACGCCAAGGGCTTCGTCCCGTCGCTGAAGCGTAAAATCATCCCGGAGGACGACATCGAGGAACGCCAGCCAAGAAGGGCCCCG